CCTTCCAGTACTGCTACCTTGTTACGACTTCACCCCAGTTACTAATTCTTATTTATTTTCTTAAACAGAAGTTTTAATAATAATTAATTTCCATGGTGTGACGGGCGGTGTGTACAAGGCTCGATGACTTATTCACCGCCGTAAGGCTGACCGGCGATTACTAGCGATTCCAGCTTCACATAAATAAATTGCAATTTATGTTCCGAACTAAGAATGAATTTAAGTATATTTATATTTATTTTTTCAAATAAAAAAAAGAAAAATTTTTCTTTATATTAAATTTATTGTATCATCCATTGTAGCACGTGTATAGCCCAGAGCATAAAGGGCATGAGGACTTGACGTTTTCCATTCCTTCCTCCTTATTTTATATAAAAAATATAGGCAGTTTTTAAAGATATTTAACTTTAAATAAGGGATACGCTCGTTGCGGGACTTAACCCAACATCTCACGACACGAGCTGACGACAGCCATGCACCACCTGTAGATGGTTATATTAATAAAAATTTATTAAATTTTTAAAAACCTATATTTCAAGCTCTGGTAAGGTTCTTCGCGTTACATCGAATTAAACCACATGCTCCACCGCTTGTGCGAGCCCCCGTCAATTCCTTTAAGTTTCACTCTTGCGAGCGTACTACTCAGGCGGGATACTTAACGCGTTAGCTAAGGAATAAAATATTATTTATATATTATTCCGAGTATCCATCGTTTACAGTTAAGACTACTGGGGTATCTAATCCCATTCGCTACCTTAACTTTCGTATCTCAGTGTCAGTAAAATAAACTGTCCTAGTAAAATGCTTTCGCTTTTGGTCTTCTTTTTTGTATCTTTGCATTTCACTACTCCTCAAAAAATTCCTTTTACCCCTAACAGACTCTAGTTTAATAATTTTTTTACTAAAAACAAATATCAAGTTTTTTTTATATAAAAATATATTAAAACCACCTACATACGCTTTACGCCCAGTAATTCCGGATAACGCTTGTATCCCCCGTTTTACCGCGGCTGCTGGCACGGAGTTTGCCGATACTTTATTTACTTAAGTGTCAATATTCACTTTTAAGTAAAAGAAGTTTACAACTAAAAAATAAGCTGTCTTCCTTCACGTGACGACGCTCTGTCAAGCTTGCGCTCATTGCAGAAGATTCCCCACTGCAGCCTCCCGTAGGAGTTTGGGCTGTATTTCAATCCCAATGTGGCTGGTCCCCCTCTCAGGGCAGCTACTGATCTTCGCCTTAGTAAATTTTTATATTACTAACTAGCTAATCAGATATGAACTTTTTTTTAGACAGTATTAACTTTTTAAAAGCAACATATATGCACTTATCAGAGATTACTTCTAAGTTATTAGAAATACTTCCAATCTAAAATTAAATTTTCATATTTTACTCACCAATTCACTATAGTTAATTTATTAACCATTAAATTTGCATGTGTTAGGCACGTCTCTTGCGTTTTTCCTGAGCCAGGATCAAACTCATTTAGTACAAAAAATATTTTATAAAATATAATACATTTAAGAAGTTTTTATATATAATCTATGGTTTGGAGATAAGCGGAATCGAACCGCTACCTTTTTCTTTGCAAAAGAACTATTCTACCATTGTCATTATATCCCCCTATAATATATATTATATATTCCTCAGTAGCTCAGTGGTTAGAGCTTTCGGCTGTTAACCGAAAAGTCGCTGGTTCGATCCCAGCCTGTGGAGTTATTTATTATTTATATATTAAAAAATACGGAAGGAGAGATTTGAACTCTCATAGAAAAATTCTATTAGAACCTAAATCTAACGCGTATACCTTATTTCGCCACTTCCGTCTTTAAATTATAAACCTAGTAGGATTTGAACCTACATTAAAAACTTAGAAGGTTTTTATCTTTTCCAATTTAAATGATAGGTTTTTTTAAAGATGGGTAGTGTTAGAATCGAACCAACAACTTTATACTTGTAAAGTATATACTCTACCATTGAGTTAACCACCCTCCTCATATAATAATATATTTATATAAAGCCAATAGCTTAAGTTGGAAGAGCATGTGGCTACGGACCACAATAGTGTGGGTTCAATTCCCTCTTGGCTTTATTAATTTTATATATTTTTAATATAAACGGAGTAGAGCAGTCTGGTTAGCTCATCGGGCTCATGATCCGAAGGTCAACGGTTCAATTCCGTTCTCCGTTTTTTATTTCTTAAGTTATTATTTATTATAATAAATATAATATTAAATATTTATAAGATAAAAAAGAATACCTTGATACTTAAAGACGAAGAAAGACGTTTTAAATTACGAAATACTTTAATTAGCTATATGCAATAAATTAAAGATCTCTGAATAGGAGGAATATACCTTATAATTTAATAAAAAAAGAAAACTTAGAGAACTGAACCATCTTAGTATCTAAAGGAAAAAAAATAACAAAAATTCCCTAAGTAGTGGCGAGCGAAATGGGATAAATATATTTATTTAATATATTTATTTTTAAATAAGTAAATTAGAAAATAATTCTGATTGAAGAAGCAAGAACCTCCTTGCAAAATAAAATACTTTAAAGTGATCGATAGTGGACTAGTACCGTAAGGGAAAGGTGAAAAGATCCCCGGAAGGGAAGTGAAAAGAACATGAAATTTTTTATCTTACAATCTATAGAAGGATTAAAGAATCTAACTATATGCCTGTTGAAGAAGGAGCTGACGAGTCTTAATTATTTTAAGCATTTGGTTAATTTTATTTAATTGAAGCCAGAGTTAACGCGAGTTATTATAATATAATAACAATTGCTTATAATTAAGAACCCGAACCCGGATGAATTAATCTTGTCCAGAATGAAATATAGATAAGTCTATATAGAGGTTCGAACTGGTTGATATTGCAAAATCATCAGAAGAGATGAGATTAGCGGTGAAATGCTTATCGAATTCGGAGCTAGCTGGTTCTCCTCGAAATGCGTTGAGGCGCAGCTGTTACTTAATATATAATTAAGGTGGTAAAGCACTATATTTAATATTTATTATATTTATATTATAAAAATTATATATAAACTAATAATACCTATTATATTAAAAAGTAATAAGTGAGACTATTGGGGAAAATCTCAATTGTCTAAAAGGAAACAACCTACATCATAAGTTAAGGTTTTAAAAAGTATTAAAAATAAAAAGAAATTTAATTTCATTTATATTTAGGAGGTTAGCTTAGAAGCAGCTATCCTTTAAAGAGTGCGTAATAGCTCGCTAAATTAGAAATTATGTACTGAAAATGGTAAAAAAAATACTTTACCGAAACTATGAGATTTATATTTAAATCGATAGAGGAGCGTTCTATATTTAAGAAGTAAAAATGTAAATTTTTATGGAAAAAATAGAAGTGAAAATGTCAGCTTAAGTAGCATAAATATTAGTAAAATCTAATACTCCGAAAGCTTAAAAGTTTTCTACGAAAGGATATACCACGTAGATAAAGTCGGGGCCTAAAATTAGATTAAATATGTAATTGATGGGTAATAAGGTTAAACTTCCTTTACTGTAAATATATATAACAAATAGTGACCTATAATTTTTATTATATTTTTATAATATAGTTTTTAATATATAAATAAAAATATATAGCTGGAAAAATGTATATGTTAAAATATATTATCACCCGTACTAAAACTGACACAAGTAAGCAAGTATAAATATACTAAGGAGTACGAAATAACTTTTTCTAAGGAACTCGGCAAAATAATCCTGTAACTTCGGGAAAAAGGATGTCCAAAGGACTGCAATAAAGAGATCCAAGCGACTGTTTATCAAAAACACAAGTCTCCGCTAAGTGTAATTACAATGTAAGGGGGCTGACACCTGCCCAGTGCTGGTAAGTTAAAAAAAATATTGATAATTATAATATTTTTATAAGCTCCAGTAAACGGCGGCTGTAACTATAACGGTCCAAAGGTAGCGAAATTCCTTGTCGGGTAAGTTCCGACCTGCACGAAAGGTGTAACGACTTGGATGCTGTCTTGGAAAAAGATTCGGCGAAATAGAAATGTCTGTGAAGATACGGACTATTTACACCTGGACAGAAAGACCCTATGAAGCTTTACTATATTTTGAAATTAAAAATAAAATATATTTGTGTAGAATAAGTGGGAAATAATTATTTTATTTATCTTGAAATACCACTCTTATTTATTTTATTTTTTTATTATAATATTGTTAACCAATTATAAAAAAATTTTAAAAAGGTAGTTTGACTGGGGCGGTAGCCTCCTAAAAGGCAACGGAGGTGTACAAAGGTCTTTTTTTAATTTAAATATTTACTTTAAAATTAAATCTATAAAGGGATAAAAAGGCTTGATTGTAAGAGTTACTACTCGAGCAAGGACGAAAGTCGGTCTTAATGATCCGATAGTTCTTTGTGGAAAGGCTGTCGCTTAACGAATAAAAGTTACTCTAGGGATAACAGGCTGATCTCCCCCGAAAGTTCCTATTGACGGGGAGGGTTGGCACCTCGATGTCGGCTCGTCGCATCCTGAGGCTGAAGTAGGTCTCAAGGGTTGGTCTGTTCGCCCATTAAAGCGGCACGTGAGCTGGGTTCAGAACGTCGTGAGACAGTTCGGTCCATATCCGGTGTATACATAAGAACATTGAAGAGTTTTTCTTTTAGTACGAGAGGACCAAAGAGATTAAACCTATGGTGTATTAGTTATTTTACTAAAAATAATCGCTAAGTAGCCAAGTTTAAATAAATATTAATCACTGACAACATATAAGTGAGAAAAATACTTTAAGATAAATGTTCTTATCTAACTAAATAAATAGAATAAGAAAACAAAAAGATAATTTGATAAAAAGAAAAAGTGTATACAATTAGTAATAATTTTAGCATTTTTTGACTAAAAGTTCGAAAAAAATATATTTTGCTGGTATAGCTCAAAGGTAGAGCCGCTGATTTGTAATCAGAAGGTTGGGGGTTCAATTCCCTTTATCAGTTTTATAATTAAAATATAAAAATAATAAATATTATATAAAAAATTTTAAAATGTTACGTTATTTAGGGCCTAAATTAAAAAAATTAAAACGATTAAATATACATATGCAACCTGAA